TCCGAGAATGCTGAGCTGGTCATGGTTCTCGTTTTCCCGCAACTAAACGTAGTCAGACTTTAATCTCCTCCGGGAGAAGGAATGTGTTACGCACGACTGTACCCCTCTCCTATCCCAACTAGTCAAGGTGAGCCCAGGTGGGCTCGATGATGGTAAGATCTGCGCGAAAGAAGGTATGTTAATCATGTAAAACATTGAACGTTGAACGTACCTTGGCATGATCTCTTCATTTTCACATCAGACAACACACCCAGAAAATAGCGATTTTGTGGCTAAAGCGCTAAAGTCGCACTTGAAAGAACAAAGAGACGAAGCTTGGAAGCTTCTGCGAGATACTGAGCTCGTCGTGTCCGCAAGCCCTTGGGTTTAAGCTTTAAACGTAACCATAGACATGTCAGATTTTCGTCTCCTCCGAGAAAAGAAACGTTACGCACCACCTGTATCCTCTCAACGTTCAACATCTACTCCAACTCTCGCCGAGAGCCAGCGAATGACAGTAAGACCTGGGCAAAAGACATGTTAATCACGGTATAAAGAGTAGGACTAATAAAACGTTGAACCTACAGCTTCCTTGCCACACCTACGAACCCCGCTCAGCCCTATAATCACCATCCAAGTCAAACCATCACGCAAGCAAGACGAGACGATTTTGAGGCTAAGGTCGTACTTGAAAGAACGGAGAGCCTGGATTTTTGTGCGAGATATTGAGCTAACCATGACACGATGACTTGAAGCTTGAACGTTTGAACTATCACTGTTCGAGCTCGGTATGATCTGTCCGCAACTAAACGTAGTCAGATTTTCGTCTCCTCCGAGAAAAGGGGAAAAGAAACGTTACGCACAGGTCGCTACCCTTCTCAACGTTCAACGTCTACCCCAACTCCGAGTCTCACCAAGCATAAGTCCAGGTGGGCATGACGACGATAATAAGATCTGCGCGAAAGACATGTTAATCACGGTACGAGTAGAACGTTGAACACGAACCCGCTCAGCCCTATAATCAACCACCCTAGCATGGATTTCAAACCCCTGCCTTTCCCAAAAGAGAGGCTAAAGTCGTACTTGAAGGAACGGAGAGGCTGGAAATTTCTGCAAGATACGAGAATGTTTCAAGAGCACCTTTCGCTCCTGCGAGCGTAAGGCCTCTACAGCGGAAAATGGAGGAACAAGCCGGGTACAGGGGTTTCTCTGTTTCGTCTGTCTGACCGCCGAACCTGTAAACGCATCCACACGTCAGTCGCGTTCAAGTTGCGTATCCCACAAACGAGAAGGGGTAAACGCACGAATTGACCGTTGCTATACATCCTCTTACCCCCAACTCCTGCCCAAAAGATGTAACGCGAGACAAATCCGTCTCGTCAAACCCGGAACCGTTGATGCCTTCTACAGGATTCATGCCTATATGTCGTGGTCAGTCCTGCGACTGAGGCCCGAGGGAGTGAACGCACCGTTACTGTACATCCTCGGAGTCCACCCCTCTCCCCCATCATCCTACCCAATAGTAGACGTTCCATCCGTGCAAGTTAAAGCTCTTAATCTCGGGATGCTATGTCTTCGTCTATCCGCACTCAAGCCCTAAACGTAAGGTTAGTCAGAGTTTAGTCTCCTCCGAGAAAAGCCTAAGGAACGTACTACGCACGATATCTCTTTCATTATCAACATCTACCCAAACCCCACCCAATACCCAAAGCCAGTTGGCGTAAAACCTCACATCTAGCCCAAATCCTGCGTTTCGACACCGAAAACCAGAACCCGCCATTCCGCGGCGAGCGAGGGAAGAAAGATGTTGTGTTGATGGTGGTGGTCGTGGTAAAAGAAGAAAAGAAGCAAAAAGCCAAAAACACGAGGCGCTTATCAAGAATCACGATCTTCGAATTACACGCGTTTTACAATTGGTTACTTTACATACATACAACAGTCCTTTGAAGAAAACACACGAGAGAATAGTGTACATTCATTGTCCATCATCCGCCGTCCGTAGGTCAAAGCCCCAACCCCTTCCCTCCAGTCAACCCACCCCCAATTCCTCCAGTCAAACCAGTATTAGTGTTGGTGTTCGCACCCGCGCCGCCAGTAAGGCTGTTAGCAGTGTTCGCCACGCCTCCAGTTCCGCCGGTGAGGCTGTTAGCGGTATTCGCCACACCTCCGGTTCCACCAGTGAGACTGTTAGCAGTATTCGCCACACCTCCAGATCCGCCAGTGAGGCTGTTAGCCGTGTTAGTCAATCCCGAACCACCAGTAAGGCTTCCAGCAGTGTTTGTAAGACCTGCAGCGGTGTTACCCAACCCTCCGCCGGTAAGTCCCCCAGTCAAACCTCCAAGCCCACCACCAGTGAGTCCACCGGTCAGACCGGTCAACCCAGAACCTCCTCCAGTTAAACCCGCCACAGCTGGGGAAGCACCCCCACCAGTACCACCAAGGCCCGAAAGAGGCAAAGTCGAACGTTGACAATTCCCCGTGTTTACGTTGATGAATCCACCTACCGACACACATCAGCTGCCGCACAAAGAAGCAAAGGAGAAGGGAGGCGTACTTTGTTGATTATCGTTATAACAACAATAAACATCCCCGGATGAACTGTTGGCATATTATTAGCAAGGGAAAAGCGGAGGAAGAGAGGAAACACACCAATCATCACCCAAAACGCAATTCAACAATCCACCGTTACAGCACACTGCTTTACCGCCGGAGCTGCATACGCTCGTACTCCGTTTTTCTAGGAGAGGCGAAGCGGAAACGAGAGCGGCGAGGGTGAGGGTAGAGATGAGAGAAAGGGTGAGTTTGTACATCGTGTGTTGAGACTGGGGGATGGAGGATAGTAGCGTTCGTTGGGTGGTTTATATACCATGTTTTCGAATGCAGAAGACGTCATGAAAATGCAGGCATGTCTTGCGGTTCAATCATCGTCGGTAGAATTTGAAGCTGAGACGGGAGCGTAGAGGCTCTACATCGTAGACTCTGGCTCCTGACTTTCATTCTGCGCGATAAACGCCTGCATATCGTGCAAGAGAGTACTAATTTTAACTTTTGAGTCAATCAGGGTACTACGAGTCAAATGCACGAAGAACGTACCATACGGCGTAGACCACTTGAGAACCAGCGATTTGGAACAGCATCAGTGACGACTTTGACATTGCTAGCTCCTGATCCAACACTCGACATCGACTCCCAACAACCCCCGCTTTAATGTATCTTTCATGCAAACGCTTCGAGCGACGCTCAGATATCCAGAAGCTTGAGAGATACCCGCATGACGAGACGAGCTGGACGTGGTGATGGTAAAAGAGAAAGAGAGACAAGGCGCTTATCATTTGTCGACTACCCGCATGACGAGACGAGCTGGACGTGGTGGTGGTAAAGAAGAGAGAAAGACAAGGCGCTTATCATTTGTCGACTCATCATTCAATAGTTTACATGTTCACGACAGAATACAAAGAGAAAGAATACAAAAAAACACTCAAAACGCTATCGTACATTCGTCCATTCCATTCACTTCGCCTTAAAGCCTAGCCAATCCTCCCAATCCCGGAACGCCAGATCCTCCACTCAAACCTTCCAAAGCTCCCGATTCTCCTGACCCAGAGCCTCCCAAAACACCACCAAGTTCTCCCGTCAAACTGCCGGTCGAACTTTGTCCGCCCGTTAGACCTTCTAAACCTCCTGAACCCTTTCCTCCACCGGTCAATCCTCCCAAAGCTCCAGTCAAACCACCCAATCCACCAGCTGGGTCTCTCCGAGTGAACTCTGGTACTTCCGCACCCAAGCCTTCGGGTACGTTGGAACCTTCAGCGTGACCTTCGAGACCTCCAAGACCGGAACCTTCACCGGCACCACCAGTCAAACTACCCAAACCGCTCAACCCAGCGCCTCCACTACCCAAAACACCAGTCAAGCCGCCCAAAACTCCGGCCAAGCCTCCCTCACCGCCTAACTCAGGGATCAACCCCCTCTTCGTCTCCACCGCACTATCCAACGACAAAAACGCCTGATGACAATTCCCTTTATCCACATTGACAATACCACCTGTAATCACCGTATTAGCCCCGAATCAAGAAGCGAATAAAGGGCGAAAGCGCACCTTGAACGTTATCCCCAAAACAACAATACACATCCCCCGTCGAACTGTAGACGCAGACGTCGATTCAATAACAGTAAGGAACACGAGCGAAAGGAACGTACCACTCATCGCTTAAACTTAAAACACACCCCAACACCCCACCAGAACAACACACCATTCTCCCGCCTGTGCTACAGATAGACGTGTCGTCGCGTTTGGGGAGAGGCGAACCGAGAGCGCCGACAAGGAGGGTTGGGACAAGGAGGATGCAGAGAGAGAGCATTTTGCTTTGCGTTGTTTTGTGTGTGAGGGGAGTGCAGGTTGTTGGGAGTGTTATATACCCCATTTTCAAGCTCCCCTACTTCTACGTTCAAGTGGGCGTTCTTCTTTGTAGAATCGAGGGTGTAGCTTGGGTGTAGGTGACATCCTAGACGAGACGGTGGAGAAGGTTGGATTCCTGCGAGACATAGTTAGAACCCTTCTATCGAAAACCAGTACCAACGTAAAGCTCACCAATTGCGAGACCCCCACTCAATTCCTAACCTAACATTTCGGCTCCTAACCAACACAGGACGATATTTTCATCCTTTCGTGGAGCTTCCCCGACGTCTTTGGTGCTTGGGTGCTGAGAAACAGGGTATCGACATCCTTTCGCGGATCATATTCTTCGTCGTCTCTCGAGGTCTGTGGTGCTGTTAGGGTACCGAACCTTTGAGATGGAACATCGATATTGAACGCACCAGTGACCACGTCTCCTTCTCCTATCTGACCCCCGAAATTCCTAACCTTGAACACCAAACATTCCGAGTCTTAGACAGAGTGAAGCCAACGATATCGATTCCGAAGCCAAGATCATGGTGGTCGTCGTCGAAGGAAAAAGAGCAAATGGTTCGATAATCGATTACAAATTAGCGCCAACGAGCAACTAGGTCAACCAAAAATCTGGACGTTCAGGGGATTGAACCCTGGACCTTATACATAAACTCATCCATCTGTCATGGAATGCAAAGCATACGCGCTACCACTGCGCTAAACGCCCTTGAAATCGACTCTTCACTTCCACGCACCCGAGGTGATAGTGTGTTTTCCTATAAGTCTCTTCGATAGATTGCACTCGAGAAACGGTGAGAAACAGAGTTCCTGATGGCTGAATGGTTCTAACCACGTTGGTCGGAACAGTATCGACTAGCGAAAAAGATGTTCAAGAATCAACGACCTGAGCCTCCAAACCTCTAGCTGCTGGTCCTGCGTTTGTCGAGATCCTCGGCGGTGCTGTAACTTGAGATCTTGAGAAGCCGCCCTGGGATTTCATGTCAGGCTGTATACGCGATAGAACGATAATAACCTGTAGTCGAAATGTCGAAGGAGTTTGATACGAGCGTTGAGGTGAGCAGAGTGAAAAAGTGATGCTAGTGGTGAAGCCTTACCTCAGGGTTTCGAGGAGCCTTTTGTCTTTCCTTCGTCGTAGTACCGACTTCAAGATCGGGTTCAAGTTTCTCTCTGGCGAACATCTCGCTTGGAGAGGACGGAGGACATGACGGAGCTGGAAAGATGTCGGGGGTTTTGTCTCTTCTGAGGCCTGAGATGACGCGCCGTGACCTGACAATGCGTATCAATGCCAAATCTAAATGGTACCAGTCAGAACAAGGTATCGACTTGCGAAGGAAAGGACGAAAAGGCACCACCACTGGCAACTCACCGGCTCCTCCAGGTTGGTCTGCGTTTGTACATCCGTTTTCGTCGATACTTGACCTGAGCCTCGACTGCTAGTTTTACGTTTATCGAGTTCTTTCTCTTGAGATCTTGAGAAGCCGCCCTGGGATTTCATGTCAGGTTGTATACGCGGTAGAATGATAAGAATAGCCTGTTGGCGATGTCGGAATGTTGCAATTGGAAGAGTTTGCCAACTGCCCGAGAACAGTGAGCAGAGTGGAAAGGTGGTGCTAGTGAAAGCTCACCTCGGCTTGAAGAGTCTTTTTTGCTTTTCTTCTTCAAGATCGGGTTCGAGTTTCTGTCGAGCGAGCATCTCGCTGGATGAGAACGGAGGACGTGACGGGGCTGGAAAGACGTCTTGTTTCGTTCTCGGACTGACAAGTTTGAAGTTGTGCAAGATGACGCTCCGTGAAAATGTTACAAATGGTACCGGTCAAAACAGGGTGTCGACTTGGTAAAGAAAGAACGCAAACGCACCACGTTCGCCTTATCTCGAGTTCAAATCTCTCCTCCAACACAAATCTAACGCTTTTGAGACCCAAGCCTTTCATATATCCCGTGGTTTTGTCCCATGTTAGAGCTTTGAATGGTGGTCGTGGTTACATCCACAGTCGACCGTCGGCGATACGAGTTCAAAATCGGCCCCTTTCGTATCAGTTTGGGTGTATTAGAACTCGAAGGGAACGAATAAAGCATGGATGATGGGAGTTTTGCGAGATGGTGCCATTGTGGTGGTGGTCGTCCAACGTCAAGATGCTTAACGCTTAGCGCCCAATTGACAATCAAGGCCGCGCAATGCCAACTCAATCTCTACAACTTCAAGGAAGACGATGTGTACAATCGACGCTTTACAACAAGGTGGGCCGTTTAAACTTTATACCATACAAACAATAAGAGTTCCCAAAACGCTCTTCAAGTCCATTGAACAAATCCAAAGCTCACATCCCCAAAAACCCCCTACACCCAAAAACACCCAACGCGAGCACAACTCCCACCAAGAACAACGCAACAGAACATAGACACAGAATAACCGGCATCCCAGGATGAACGCACACGCCTCCGAATCGAAGGGTAACATGCCCCTGCCCCGGGCCTTCAACGTCGCAAGTCCGCTTAACGCTCCCAACAGAAAACAAGACAAGCGTATTATAGCATCCAGCACACGCTGTAACCGCCAACGCAACATGGAACACGCTCCGAACGGAAGCGGAAGTCTCGGTGCGAGTGAGTATGATGTAACAGGTTGAGAGGATCGTCTGGTTGAGAACTAGGAATATGAATGGACGTTGGACCGCGTGGATTAAATAATGGACGTGTGGTATTCCTGGGCGTTGTTTAGGGCTTGATAGGGAAGAAGAGTGGTAAGCGAGTCACCTTCTAGTTTTCGTTCTAGCTTTGCAATGCGGCATGGTAGAATTGGATCGCCGTTGCTGGGAGTGATGAGCGTGGAGGCTTCGAAAGGAGAGGTTTGCGGTTCTGGGATATCAATAGAGATCATGGTGGTACAACTGTAAGCTCTGTAATGGCGAATAGGGGTCTATACTGTCGTATTCACAGTCTCGTCGTCATTATGTCTTAAGCGCCCAGATCAAGCATGCGAAACCTTGTGTATAGAATCGACGATACAATATGGTAGGCTGTATCGTGACATACAATGATAGTGTTTATACGATACAAGGCGTTCCCCAAAACCCTCTTCCAGGTCCAAGCCCAACAAATCTAAACCTCAACGCCGCTCCTCACTGTCAGACTCACACACCCCAGGCCGAAACCACCTCTCGATATCCCAAAACGCCCAACACAAGCACACCGCCCACAACGAACACCACAAGACCATACAAAAACAGAATAGCCGACAACCCAGGATGAATCAACACATCCCACCAGCCTTCCCGCCTTTCATGATTCGCACAAGTCCGCCTAGTACGATCCCTATGCCGGGTTTTGTTGGACAAAATTTGTCGTAATAAATCCGGGACAGGGCAGGGCCAACCTGGATAGCCCCGACCGGGGTAGGATTATCCAGATCCGTCCATGGATGAGCCATTGTCATCCAGGCTTTCCCTTGGAACGTCACGGTCCGCCACGCGACACGTCAGGACGAACCAAGAGACCGAAGCTATTTCTTGTGAACAATTTCAGGGACCGCTCATGACCGACCCTCGGATCGCCTGCGGACCATCCTCGACATCTCCATGGGCAAGTCATGGACGATCCTGGACGGTCCAGGATCACCCTGAATTCGTTACCTGTCACGCGGTGTTCGGGGTCTCGATCTCGGACATAACCTACCGTACCTGCGCTTTAACCAATTTCACAGTCTTGGATTAGACGACTTGAGTAGCGTAGTATGAGAATATATTTATTTGATATGCGTCATCGTAAGCGAAGCCCTCCAAAAAAAAGAGAAATTGAGAAAAACACCACAAATGCGGCCCAAAGCGCACATATCTCGGTGGATATCACGGCCAGTACAACATATCACTCTTCCGGTACAAGAAATCAAACACTCCCGACAACGCTACACTCGTCTTCGCCTCACAATCGACTCATAACCTCTACGCTCAGATCCTCGACTATCGGCTTGATGATGTCCAGCCACCCGTTCGCGTTCGGAATTTCAAAGATTTCAATGTGGCGACGTTTACCTGAGCGGCGCGTCAACCAAATTGAATCGGGAAACGAAACAAACTCACATTTGGAACAGTCTTTAGGGATCCTGCTATATCCCAATGACTCTAAGGCCAGATGTACGGCTCTTTCTGCGCCATGTCATCAGTTTTTTTACCAATGAGCCAAGGTCCATGTACTTACCAATTCTGTGACAATATGGCACTTGGACTACATCCATATACCACAGTTGAGGGTGTTCATCACACTCGGACCACTCATCCCGCCGTATTTCAACCCCTCTACTCGTTCTGCCCACTTTATAGAGATGTATCCCTGTCCCATCTAAAATCTTAAAGCAGTAGATATTTCCTCCTTTATCTGCCTCTGAAATCGGTTTCTCCAAAGTCCTGATGAGTTTTTCTGTGTAATCTGACATTGAAACACCTCAAAAGACCTTCAATAAGTGTGGAAGAAGGATTTCAGGATGAGGAAGAGATGAACTAGGCTGGTTGCCGAGGTGATGGCGGGACATGCGCCGCCGACGCCGCCGGCAACGAGCAACGGGCGCCTGTTCCCGACATGTGATGTGGCCACTCATTTACATGTGACACGAAACGTGTTTGCGAGCGAGACCAGACGGTCGGGAACGCGCCAAATGATTTCGAGATGCTTAACCCGCTTTTATCACGATATGTAGCATTCCAGAGGACCGAAATTTTCATCGAAGTCGGGCATTGCGCCAAATTACGTGACTCGAACCATTCAGATGTGCCCGAGGCGCGTAGTCAGCCACCAGTGCGTGTTTCGAACAACGCGAGTCTCCTGGTGACACGCCGGAGGGTGTTAAAACGTTCAAGAACAGTCTAAAATCGCATGGTAACCCGTCAACGTGTTTGCAGGACGTGTCCGAACATGAGAGCAACATACCGTGCTACGAGGCGAGTGAATATCAATGATATGTCACAGTGTGATTTGTGATACGATCCTAGTATTCTAACTTATCAGCTAGTTTCATCGACATATTAGGAGACAAAGAGCCACATACCAGTGCGTGTTTCGAAGTGAGCCAACCTGTTAATGATGTGCCAGAGATATATTCACCACAGTAGGTAAAATGTGATACTAGGATATGTTCGCATGTCAGCGATTTTACTGGACGCGTATTATGCAACAAGTAACATACCTCGGCGTCTCAAAGCGTGGTTTTCTGCTAGTTTCCTACTAACGTACATGCTCATTATTGGCGTTCGTGCGTTCGTGAACTATACGTATCTTTACTCGCGAACTCTTTGTAGGTAGTTTAAGGTCGTTTCGGACCAGAGTGAAACCCTTTCCTTATCGGGAAAGGCGGTCTGGCAAGATGGCCCTGCACAGCCACATCCGCTCTTAACTCCAATACCTCAAACCGTACGAAAATCATTACAATGAAGGTTCCCTATCCTTGAATTCCAGAGATACGGATAAACACTTGTATGTTAAAATTTCACTGTCTACATATCAACCTGCTATTCCTCCCACTCCTCATCGGTAGACTCCTCATTGGTACACTGTTCATATTGCACACTATCATCCCTTGGAAGATCCTCGTATTCGTTGAAGAGATCCCTGTGTTAACTAATTAGCATTTCGACCCCGGGGCAATGTCTCTTTGGCTCCACCTACACAACGAGTTCTCCGAGCCTTTCCTCAAATCTCACCAGTGCTATGTCTACA